AGAGTCCCTTCATTTAAAGGCACAGTATGCTTTAGAAATTCATATTTTTTTGGCATTTGTTAGAAATGCCAAATATGATTGTTTTAAATAAAGTTTTCGAAATGGATTTATAGCATGTATATATTATGTAAAACAACTGAAGAAAGTAGCGTAAAAGATGCAATAATGTGTCAAAAAGGTAGCAAAATGTAAACAAATTCCACACAAAATACGAATCCACTATCATTATACCAATTTCCAACAGAGCTAAAGAAACAAAATATAGTTCATCTATATGGCAAATGAGTAATTTTGTGAAACTATAATAATATACCAAAAGTTAAAAGATTTTAAGAAATAAAAATAATAAAATTTCTGAGGCATAATGTGCCTTTAAACAAATGTAGTCCGTGCATACTAAAAGTGGTCAACGACTAAGAGAGGCGCTAAAACTGGAAAACTAAACGTCTCAAAGTTATGTTCATCTTTTTGGCTTTTTAAAATGTTGTTTCTTTTCCTTACTCTGACAATATTATTGGAATTACAATTAAGTCGAAAGTTCTCTAATAAAAGGTAAAAACACTGACATGTATTCTATAGTTTGCAGTAGTACCTTTCATAATTCAATTGCAATGCAACCTGGTATGTGTATTTATTAAAGGACCATTATGTCCCGGAAATGCTTTTATTTACTTGGTAAGAAAGTTACTAATTGACACAATTACCCGAGACTTCCTTCGCTTCTGGTGCCTTTTATCATAGTGATTGTTAAAATACTACCTTGTTTACAGTTTGCTACTTTTTAAAAAAAAAAAAACTCACATACAGGACCAATGTGCTCTCAAATAATTTATTAAAAGTAATAAAACTCATTTCATTTCGGAATTATTTATTCATATGTAAAACGGTATGTTAATACATGTATATAATATATGTATTTAATAACCAATCCTTGACCATGCACTGTTTTGTATTTGGAGCAGTCCATTCCTTCAAAGTTCAAGGGGTTTCAACCATGGTCAAAATGCATGGATTGTCCGGCTGGCTCCGTGTTCACTAACATAAGATCACGATCAAGGATCAAATGATCCCGAAGTCCTTTTCATTATTTAATAAAACTTAAATTGATCGTAAAATATTGCCGATTTTCACAAGCCGGTTTGATATGACAAATAACAAATACAAAAAATATCATCGGATCAAAATATTAAGGATCAATTTTAGGATCAGGAACAATTTTTGGATCAACTGTTAAATGCCTTCATCTTGTTAAATAACAATAAATTCATTCTCAAATTTTATAACCAGGCTATCTAAAGTCCAATTCTATCAAGTTATTATTAAATATTTATTCAATGAGGATAAACAAAAGAAAATATTTGAGATTTTTTAATTTATCCCGATCTTGATCCTTAAATCTTAAAGCAGCATGCCTCCAGATTCATGCTAATTTTCATAAAAAATTTGAAAATGTATTTAAAAGTAAAATATTGTGAAGTGAACAAAGAAAGTAATTTACACATTGCAGACGGCACTTACAATCCATATAAATTGCCAAAAAGAGGTAAAAATATACATAAATACCTCTTACTGCGTTAGTAACGCAGTAGAATTATAGTGCTTGGTACTGCAAAATTTGTCATTAATCGCACATAACATGTAAATAAATATTGAATCTTTTTACTTTTCTTAAGATCTTAATACACTTTTGTAATGATTGAATTTCTTGAAATATTTTGGCTCATCTGGAGGCGTGCAGCTTTAAGCCTCGGTCTCACTTACTCCCGGCAGAGCCCAGGACCACCCCGGTAAGTTACCGGGACGATCCGGGATGAAATTATTGTTGCAGTCACACTTACCCCGGCAGCACTACGGTAGTTCCCTATTAACAACCCAGGATGCGCTTCGGATCATCCAGGCAGAGCCCAGGTGAAGCTACGGTTCATGTCGGTGCTTCCCCGGTCGTTCCCGGATGACGCCGGAAGAGCCCCGGTTGACCAAGGCAGAGCCCAGGTCGACCCAGACAGTGCCCCGGCAGAGCCAGGCAGAGCCCCGGTAGAACCCCGGTGGATTGAAACATAATTTTTATTCAATATAATATCTATTGTTCCAGAATAGTAATTCATGATGATTTTCTGAAAAATCCTTGTGCCATACTGGATAGAAGGGAAATGGGAAGGCTTTTAATACAAACAAGTTCAATCATCACAAATTGTCCTTATTTTTTTAAATGATCCGGGCTTTGCCGGAGCTCTACCGGGATCAACCGTAGCTCTACCTTTATCCTCCGGGGCTCTGCCTGTAGTTACCGGGGCTCTGCCGGCATATACCGGGGCTCTACCGTAGCTCTACCGGCTATGTCATACCCCGGATCATCCCCGGTTTGTGCCGGCAGAGCTACGGTGCTTTCCCGGTATCACCCCGGTCGTTCCCGGCAGAGCTAAGGATGATGCCGGCAAAGCTATACCTTCCCGGATCACCCCGGTGATATTAAATATTTTATTCCATCCGGGATCGAATGCCGGATGTTCCCGGATCATCCAGGACGTTGCCGGCAGAGTAACGGATGTACCCCGGTTGTTCCCGGATCACCCCGGACGTCTTCCGGTTCTCTGCCGGGGCTCTGTAAGTGAGACTGTAGCTTTAATGAACATGGGGCCTGACTCTATAATGATGGTTTACCACTTTCAGTTTCAAGCAGGTTCAGGGTCCAAACCTCCAAAACTTTTTCCGAATGTTACCCAGGTGAAATAATTCACTTGACTTAGGACCATTCAACAATCAACAACAGCATATTTTGTTTGGCCTGCTCAACTAGCCTTTTTATTAAACAAATAATTTCATATTATGATATAACAATTCAACAATCTTATTTCAAATGAAACATTCTTGTATCAGAAATAGTTGATTTTCAAATTCATAAAAATGAGAGCAATAAATCTGTTATGCAACAATTCTACAATTATTTTATCAATACACTTTGAAAGTGTAAAAAGGAATTTCAAAAGTATCAGTTAAGCACAGAAGAGTTGTTTCCCCTTGAAAAATAAAACGTGTGCAGTTGTGCAAGAGTTCTCTCCCTTACATATACAACACTCACTTTTTTTCCTAAATATGCCAAACTTGAATGTTATCCAAGAGAAGAAGGCTGATGAATAAATTAACCAACCATTTAATGTTGTTTACAGCTTCATATTGATACCTTTTAAAATGTTTGAATAATAGGCAAGTTTTTTGTACAATGAGAACAATGCCCAGCAATCACAATTAAAGCTTCTTCAGATAAGCCAAAAATCTATGTAGTAATAGTAGATGTATAAATAGATGACTTAACTGGATCAGTTAAAGGGACTCCACTCGGGTCCAAAAGCCTTAAAACATAAAATTTTAATTTCATGTCTCACATAGATAAACTGGGGCACTTAAAACAGTAATATGTACTAAAGTTAAATAAATAATTTACTCAGAAATACATTGAAAATCATATGTTTTTGCTATTCCTTGTCTGATTTGAGTGAAAAGCATTGCAATGCTTTTCAATTTTCGGGTAATTTTTCACAATTAGAATAGATTTTCTGGAAAATTGGATCAAGTTTATGATCTAAAAGTTTGCACATAAGTTGTGGGTATAGAACTACATGAAATAGAGTAAGAATCTTGAAAAATTATTTTCAGTCCCGTTATGTAAAAAACACTCAGTCGAGTACCTTTAACAAGGTAAATATATTTGTATTAACCATAAGACAAGCATCTAGAGGACAAATCATGAGTCAATATAAAATATCACTCATGTTATGTCAATTTTATTAATTTACAACACTGTTTATATATTTCCAAACTAATTATCAAGGTTTTGTAGTTTGTATAACTTATGTGTCAATTTTCCTCTATTTTACTTAAATTTGTTCGAAAAGTTATAAGTTCTTTATTCGTAATCTATGGAGGATGGCCAGACAGACGGACTGACAACAGATTTTTTGATATCCCTGGTTGTAACCAGAATATAACACTTAAGAAAAGAGCAAACTTCTTACACTAAAGAGGAAATAACTATTGAAATAAAGATGCAAGACTTATGAACATCGTCATACATTATATGAGTGGTGACAAACAACAATTATCTTAAGTCTCAAGTAGATACCATATATAGAATCAAAGATGAAAAGTGAAAAATATAACAAATTTCAAATATATTAAAGTAAAGTTTATTTCTGTAACATAGTACTCCGGCCCAAAATACAACATGACATTGCAATGGAAAATACAATATACCATTAACAGTAACAAAGAAGAAATTTTTTAAAATTTTAAAAAATAAAAAATTTAAGGAAAGATATTTTTGATTATTTAAAAAGGTGCAAATAAGGGCCCTAATGCCCAAAATAAGTGGGGGGATGAAAAGAAACTATTTTAAAATTTTAAATAGGTTTTAAAAATAAAGAATTTTAAAAAAAACAAATTTTTTTAAAAAAAATTTGCAATTAAGGGGGGGGGTGTTTGCCTAGCAACCAAATTTTTCAACATAGGAATTAAAGATGTTCATAATTTCCAGACTGCCATTTACCCATATTTCAAACTTCATTAATGTATGTTCAGTACTTTTTGCATCATCATGGGATCTAGTTTCGTGGACAGACATACAGAAGGACAGAGGGTAAACCTAGTCACCTCTGGTTAAACCTGATAAGGGACTTAACACAATATTTATGTTTCAAATAAATTTTCGTTTTTAATTTCAATGCAAAAATATAGAAATGATGTTTTAAAATGAGTTTAAAAATACCCCAGAGTAAACTTCTTACACTCAGCCCATTTTCTAAACCAATCAAAATGTTTCATTTTCATATTGAAACCATTTCCCTTATGTTAGCCCTATGGTAGAACATAATTTGGCAAAAAGGGTGATCTAATATCAAGAAGCTAATATAATAATGAATGTATTATCAATAGTCTTTTATAAAAACTGCACAAGTTGAAGATCTTTCCAATCATAAACAATGTCTTAAATGGTTTTATTATAGATGTATCTTTTTTGCATGCAACACATCAATCAACATGCTAAATCTACCAGTCCCCCACATGGCACTGCCCAGCACACAACTCCGTAGCAATCAGTTGCCATAGATATACAATGTTTAATGTCACAGTATCAATTCACATGAAGATCCTCTATCAAATGTTAAACAACTTGTCCAGCAAGCATCAGTCCTGTAAAATAAAATACGGTATTTGATTTATAATTAATAATGAAAACTGACTTTGGGAGAAACACTTAACTACTTACATATATATAGTAGAATTTGAGTCTTTGTTACTAAAGTTATTTTGCTACTCAAAGCATTATACAAATATTAACAAATCATATGGAAAAATCTGATGTTCGTGGCAGAATTAAAAAAAAAACAGTGTTGAGGGGCAAATGTGTTTTTTTCTCACACGGCCACCAAAGCCCTCTTCCTTCCATTTAAAGTGATCAACAATTTTCTTGAGTAATTGTCTTAAGAACTTACCATGGCTTGATCTTGGCTAATGTATGGGAGGAACTTCTATAGCAAGGCAATAACTGTCACATTTCTTTGTGGCCTAGCAATCTATAGGATACAGAATTATGTTAAGTTTTTAGAATTTCAAAATACTATATATATATAGGAACTCGGGAATAGAACCACATATTGCAGTGTGTACTTCCAAACCTGTACAGGCTTTACTTTTTGTTTGTTTGACGTTTGAATATTTTTTCATATACAAGTGGATTGTCTTTAAATAAGTTAAAGTAATTTAATATCATCTGTTAGGTTTAAAAAAAAATAGGTCAAATCAAGGGCATATAGAAAAAAAAAAACGTCAAATTAAGCCAACACAAGTTTAAATGTTAAATTAATATAATATTCAAAGAGGTCATACACTCGGATAATATGAAATGGATTAAAATAATTGTGACAAACAATTAAATTCTAAAAGCTATTACAGGATAGGATATATAAGCCGCAATTTGTGGTCCAATTCCGGAGTTCCTTTTAATAGAATATACATGAAAAAGAAATAATTATAAATATTTTACTTTTAGGCTCTAAAACAGACCCCTGCTTAATATTTTACTTATATCTTTAAAAATGTTTTTTTTGCAAATCTAAACCCCTGTAAAATACTGAGAATTTCTGCTCTTAAATGAAGAAATTTCTATCCTTAAAGCAGCTTGCCACCAGATTTATGCCAATTTCCATGAAAATGTATTTCAAAGTAAAACATTAAGTGGACAAAGAGTGCAGACACTTACAATTCATGTAAATTACCAAAAAAAAAGGTCAAAATATGCAAAAATAGCTCTTAATGCTGCAATGTTAGTAACACAAATAAAATATGGTGAGGATTACAATGAAATCAGTAGTAATTGCACACATGTAAATTATTACTTGAATCTTGATGCTTTTACTTTTCTAAAAATTGTACTACAAGCTTGATTTTCCTGAAATATTTTGACTGGAGGCATGTTGCTTTCAATATCAACTCAAGAGTAAGAAAACTGCTGATATATATTATTTTTCATATCATTTATAAGAATATCATGTTTCTTAATTGATTCCAATTCTAAGATGGTAATGAAAAAGATTACATGTACATGTACACAAAGATTATTTTACTCTACAAATTTTAGCTTTAATATTAAATTCACTCACATATAAGAAAGATGGTTTACATATGATGGCAAAATTGACAAAGATAATCTAGCTGTTCTTAAATGAAATGTATCTAGATCCATCTTTACTGGTAACATTTTCATATGTAATTAAAGGGACTCCGACATGAAGGGGCCAACAATCTTTTTCAAGATTTTTGTTTAACGATTTTCAATCAAATAAAAAATTACATAAAAAATCGATTATCAATTATACTGTGTGTATTTATATAGTTTCAAATTTAAGTGTACCAGTTGATTTAAGAAAGAATTTCATAATTTATTATTTAAGGCTATTGGACCTCAGTGGAGTTCCTTTAAGGTTAATCATCATTTATATATGGTTGATAGTTAACAAAGTACATTGTATATGGCTTATTTGAACTCTGGGACTTACCAGTACTCACTGGGTGTCAAATTTATATTATCTTTCTGGATTTGACTCTGACTTTAAGGTAAACATACTGTAATGCTTTCCTGCAAAAAATTTTTTAACATCCATCAATAGTGTAATAAATTGGTCATTTCAGGAATGTTATTTTTCACAATTTCTTCGGTATTCAATATTTTTTAACCATTAATAACCAGAATTAAGTACATACCGGTAGTGATAAAGGACAGGTGATTGTTTATAAGCTATTGCCAAATATTTTGAGAAAATAAAGTTCCGTATTGGCCAACGTTTTAGCGGGAAAGTTTTACCTTATGACTACCATAACATGTCTTTGTTACGTCTTGGAGGTTGATCACCATAAGGAGTTTTCCTGGATAACTAACCAGTTTCTTAACAAGTGAACCGACTACTAAACTCAAATGATTTGACTGGATCAGCAATGAGAGACAATTAAAACCAATCACCAATATCTGAGATCAACAGACTTACTCCGGAATAAAAGAATATTTTGTTTTTTCCCAGCTTAAATGATGGAGGTACAAACAAACTTTTACAGTTACAACTTCGAAAATATGTGCAATAGATTGACAATTGTGACCAGTATGCACCGTAAAGAAATAACCGTAAAAGTTTGTTTGTACCTGGGGGGATTAGCTTGGAAAAACTCACATTTGCCGAGTTCCAGATTATAACATCTATTGTCATGGTGAAATTATGCCACGTCAGAGGAAGGAACCAGTGGCTCCTAATGTCAGAGTGGATTACGAACATGATGCTCTCCCTAATGAGCTAGGCAAGCAGACGGACTTGGTGTCAACAGAATAAACATGGTCATGGACATTTGTGGGTCAAATTTATTTATATGCATTTTCAAATGAAATGATTTTGGTGTGTATGTTGATACACAACAAAATTTGTTATAAAAACATGTTCAATATATTTCGCAAAATGATATTTTTTTTTAAATTTTGCTTACATAAACTTGCCTTTCTTAAGAAAATCAGATTTCACAGCTAATCCTTGAAGTTGCTAATATATTACATCCACTTCAATAACCGTGGTCAGATCTACAAATGTAAAAAAGAACATATCACAACATGGTTGTTAATATTTTTCTGAGGCTTTGTTACAGAAATTATTTTGCATAACATTAATGCTTGACAAATGCTTTTTTTTGAACTTCTATAATATCCTTTTTCTTTTCTATTAAATGGATGCATACACTGAGTTACATGATGTAAATCACTTTAAAGAAAGTTTGAATATTGTTAAATATTCTAGCAGTTTTTGTTTTTTTGTTGTCTGTTTCATTTAAGCCCGTTAAAACCTCTATCACTCCACACGTAATGAACATGATGGGCAAAATGTAGTGTTTTATATGTAAAAAAACAATTCAAATACAATGCTATTTTCTCCCCCTCTGCTTTTACCATGGCTTGGGACATGCTAGTAGTTAAAACTGCACACATCCGTTTTTTTTTTAATTTTTGAATTCAGGAATTTTTTTCAATTTTAATTCGTCTTTTTAATTTGAGTCAAAAATTTCTTTTTTAATGGCAAATAAATATATTGTTTATTTCTTTTTCAATATTTAAATTAAATATTAACACTGTTCTAAATAAAAAAAATAAACTAAAAAATAGATGTCTTAAATTTTGACTTTGTAATTTTTAAAAAAACATTAAAACTAAAAATTTTTTAAAAATCTTTAGACATTACTTAATATTCCCATAAAAAAAAATAAATTGGGGGGTGTGCTGTTTTAAAAATAGGGGAGCTTTGGGGGGAAATGTTGAGATTGTCAAAAATTGAAAACTCGAAAAGTTGAATGGGTTTAAAATCAGTTTAGTCGTTTAAGGTTGGTCATAGTAATCGTAGGTTCAGTATCTTTCTAGGAATTTAAAAGACAGGGGGAATTTCCCCCCAAATTTAAAAAAGAAGGTTTTTTTTAAAAAAAGGGGGCCAGTAAAAAAGAGTAATTGTGTAAAAAAATTCTATGTTGTTTATATCAAAAGCCAGAGCTAATCTTTTTATTTTCATAAAAAATAAAAAGGTAGCTAGATTGGGTTTTTATTCATTAAAGAAACAAATCAGGGACGGCTCAACTAGAATATGTCTGCAGCTATTTTTTATCATATTACACATTATTATTAATATCGAGTTATGAGTAAGGGTTAGTGTTATGTGTTAGGGTTAGAGTTAGGATTATTGAACATAAATTTTGCTGCAAACAGATTCTAAAAGTGCCGTTACAAACTTTATAGAAAAAGGAGTTGACAACGAAAAATATTGATTTTATTTAGCAAACTCCTCACAGTGATTACCTCCCTTGGCAGATTGTAATCACGATACTAACAAGGGGAGATCACTGTGAAGGAGACTGTTTATTTAGTTCACAATTACCCCCTTTAGGCTTCCCCGTGTTCATGAAAACAAAATAAGTTGTCTAGACCTTTATGCTTTTTGAGAAAACTGATCAATTCAGATGCAGGATTTTACACCCGTTTCCAAAATGTGCAGAACCTTTAAAAAAATAGTGTGAATCCCGCATTAACAAGTCCTAGAATAGACACTGAGGTTTAAGTCACAAGTACACACATCTCCCACCATTCAACGGCCGCCAAAGAGCTTCAATAAATGCCAAATGTCTCTGTCTGACCAATAACCGGAAAAAGTTTTGGTCTCAGGTTGCATGGGCCTAGTAGTTAAAGTAAATTAGTCAAAAAGCTTCCCCAATTAATACTATTGGGAAAGCCATGACCGGTTCGTAAAGTCTTGTTAATTGGTCAATGTCATGGTCAATGTCATTACAAAAGCTAGTAAGATCAAATATTTTGATGGAGAGGTTTGTCACAACTGGTATATGTCAATGACCAATGGTCGTCAGTACCTACATAATCATGTCTGGTCAATATTAGTGAGGAAAACTTTGTATAGAAAAGAAAGTTTTGTAAAGATCGAGATAAAGTTAGATAAGAATAAAGTAGAAAATCTGTCATATCTGCACTTCCCCTTCATGGCAGAACTATATGATGGGGAGGTGCAAACAAACAACAATCATAGATGCTAGGAGACCTGAAACCGACTTTCTACAGAAAGTTAATCTGTCTAGAAAGCCAATTGTTTTCATATCTTTTCCATCTACATTTTCTCAACCAAATTATCTTCATTTTTATTAATTCGCTTTTCACACATGATGAACTGTTTTCACTTTAAATTTCATTTCATTCAACTCTCCTCTAGTTCATTCGGTTTCCTTGACTATTTTACATTTTTTTTTCCATTTCCTTGACTATTATTCAATTGTTTCCATTCCAATGTATTCTCTCCCTTTCCATTAATTTTCATTCATTTTTCACATCTCCATTTTTCAAAAATATCTATTGCTGACCTCTTGTAGTTCCTTCATTTCTTTCATATTTCAACAAACACTTTCCATTTTTCATTGCACTGACTTTTCATGCCCTATTTCCATTCTCAAAACTTCACAATGTTTTCATTCTCATTTCTTTCCAAGCAATTCACTATATTTTCATTCATTTTTCACTTTCACATCTCCATTTTTCAAAAATATCTATTGCTGACCTCTTGTAGTTCCTTCATTTCTTTCATATTTCAACCAACAATTTCCAATTTTCATTGCACTGACTTTTCATGCCCTATTTCCATTCTCAACACTTCACAATGTTTTCATTCTCATTTCTTTCCAGGTAATTCACTATACCCTGTTCTATTCATTTCATTTATTTAACACTAACCGCAACATATAATTCATAATGGCATTTATTTATGTCCCTCCCGCCACAATATATACAATATTACACCTTTTCAATATTTTACCTCTCTGTTCTGTACTTGCCTTGTCTTTCACATTGCTGAGCAACTAAAAACATTGCAATTCTTACCGTCTTGTCTTGATAACTTGATGGAAAATATCATCTAGTACTCACCATTTAACAACTATATTTTAAAAAGAGAAATGCTAGTTATTGTTCATTGTTCATTCTTTACTACTAACATGTTCAAATAAATTATTTTAACTGATAAATAATTTACTATTAGATATTTTGCAAAATTCTTTATTTATTAAAGTTTAAAGATATCTCTATGAAAGGTCGGTGGTTCTATGCAGTCGACAAGGGAATTGAAAAAAGTATAATTTAATTACAACTTCTACTTGGAATAAATGTTAATGCATTTTTAAATCAATTGAGACTTTCTTAACTATATAATGGGAATCATTGTCCCGTCAATCAACCACACACACAACTTCAACAATTTTCCAATGAAACCATCAAGATCTCCACAAGAAAATAAAACAGAATTTAATTGGGTTAAACCAGTAATGATTTAAATAACAAAAACAGGGACATGAATGAGGACCAACTAGTTGAAGCAACAAAAAAGGCATAAATGGCATTAAATTTAAAGACAAATTTTTCTATCAAAATAAGCCACCCGTTAGCTCAATAGGCAAGAGCGTTTGGACTGTGAATCTGGCAACCCGAGTTTGATTCCCCTGATAGTGCAGTCACTTCATTGTGATTGATCATGAAAATCCTTTCCCTGATGGGTCATTTGCACTGTAACTTCTGCTCTGGCATGTACAGAAGTTATCAGTTTCTTGTGTAAGTGAAGGCAATCAGTACTGGTAAACATGCATGACAGTCTGCCCAGGAACAATGCTGTGGCCGAATTGAGCTCTGGTAGATTCAATGTGGCTTATTGCCGTGATCTGGAGTGAAAGCTACCAACCACCAACAAACTTTATAGCAAATGTGTAATGCATTTTGTTTTTAAAATTTAAAGAAACAATTTTAAATTTTAAGGGAGACAATTAAGCAAAACTAGTCAGTTATCTGTCCATTAAAAATGCATACCAACTTGATACAGCATTTTTTAAGTGAATAATCATATGATAGCTTATTGGATACTGCATCTTTACAAAAACCGCTGACCGAAGAAATTTTTGGTCAAAAACGAGGCAAAGAATTGATAGCAGATTTTATTTGATTTTTGTTTTACACCTTTTCCCAACCAGTATTTAAGTCATAAAAAATCAGGACGGGTAGTTTCCTAAAGGCCATCGTTCCTGAGGTTAACAGACCAGTACTAGACTACCTACCCCTTCCTCCGTGCAAACTACGCAAAGGCATCTCCCGGGTATCAAACCACGCCAGAGAGGTAACTGGATA